AGCACAGCCACATGACAAGGCGGAAGAAAAACACTCGGAACGAGCGCTTCCAGCCCGAAACGCAGAAGGATCCGCACATGTGCAGGAAGTGCAACGGGCGCTCTTCATTCGCGAGCGCCGATGATCGATGATGCTCGCAACCCTCCAACGCCCTTGCTGGCTTGGCAAGAGGCCGAGACAAGCGCAGCCATGTGACCCGGCGGAAGAAAAACGCTCGGAACGAGCGCTTCTACCCTAAAACGCGGAAGGATCCACACATGTGCAGGAAGTGCAGCGGACGCTCTTCATTCGCGAGCGCCGATGACCGATGATGCTCGCAACCCACTTCTAGAGCTGCAACTGCTACTCGGACTGTTGCTGCTACTGCTAATGCGGCTGCTACTGCGGCTGTTACTGCTATTGCAGAGTCACCGTCGCACCCGTATCGACACTAGCATCGCCTGGCCCACCAGAAGCAGAGCCTGTACCTGCATGTTTCTGCAGATGCTATTTCATGCTTTTCTCTGACGATCTTGTTGAGATAAAAGCTAGAACAAGTAGCCATAGCTAGGGTTTACCTAGCTAGGCAAGAGAGAATTAGGCAAAGGAGGATTTGACTAGAAAGTAGAGAGGTACAAATAGCAAGCCCTAAAAGGGTTTACTCACTATTGAGTACCCCACTACAGACTAGACAAGCATTATATTCTGACACACCCCCATAGTCAAAGTGGGGTATAATCAGCACAGCAAGCAGTCATAGAGCAGGTTCACAAGTTCAAGCAAAGCTAGAGGCGGTCACACAAGGCAAGTGAGGAGGAGGAGTGACTGTGAGAGGAGAAGAGATGGGAGGCGACTGCTGAAGCTGCAGACACACGGGCCACAGGAGCGGCTGGCTCAGTTGCTACCGGAGCAAGGGCCCCGGACTACAGGAGTAACAGGCTCAGACAGGAGCAACGGACCCACGGGCGACAGGCGCAGCAGGCTCTCTGGGCTACCAGCGGCAAGGGCCCCGGACTACAGGCGCTGCGGACGACAAGACTGCTACCTCCACTCAACCTCCCCCAACTGTCCCACCCCCTTTCACACACCCCTTGCTGAACCCCTAGCTCCACTCCCACGGCACCCCCCTAGCGCCACTCCCTCGGCTCCCACACATCCACCCCCCTCAGCGGCAGCTGCAGCAGTGGGAGACGGAGGAGGAGGAGGAGTAGGGGACGGCACACTCACCCTGCACCTTCATAACCGCCACCCCCACATCCACCACCCCCAAACCCTAAAACGGGTGGCACGGGGCAGGAGCACGGGTGGCACAGGGCAGGAGCGCGGGGGACGGCGCGGGGGACGACGCGCGGGTCGACGGGGGCGAGCGCGGAGGTCCCCGGGGGCGGCGCGCGGGTCCAGGGGAGGGGCGCGCGGGTCCAGGGGGACGGGCGCGCGCGTCCCCGGGGGCGGCGCGCGGCTCCCTAGGGCGCCGCGACGAGTCAGCGGGGGGCCGCGCGCGGCGCCCCAGGGCGCCGCGACGGGGAAACGGGGGCCGCATGCGGCTCCCCAGGGCGTCGCGACGGGGCAGCGGGGGGGGCGCGCGCGGCTCCCCAGGGCGCCGCGACGGGGAATGCGGGGGGGGGGGGGGGGGGGGGGGGGGGGGGGGGGGGGGTGGAAGGGGGGCGACGCGCAGGCCGACGGGGCAGAAAACCGCCTCGCGCCCCGAGCGCGCGGCGGGAAGAAAAACAAGGCGTCGCGCGCAGACAGGAAAGCAGCGGAAGCACGTGGGGCCCACAGGCCAAGAGCGTAACAGCTCTGATACCATGTTGAGATAGAAGCTAGAACAAGGAGCCATAGCTAGGGTTTACCTAGCTAGGCAAGAGAGAATTAGGCAAAGGAGGATTTGACTAGAAAGGAGAGAAGTACAAATAGCAAGCCCTAAAAGGGTTTACTCACTATTGAGTACCCCACTACAGACTAGACAAGCATTATATTTTGACAGATCTTTTATGTAAACGCTTTGTATGTATGCTGAAACCAAATGAACAAAATGAATTACGAGCTTGGATTGAGATTTTTTGTTCAGGCAATCTTGAGACCATCCAGATTCTCTCGAGAACCGCTACGAACGCAATTCCCTCTCCTCCCGCTTCCCCCCCAATTCCCCGTCCCCCTACTTTCTCATCCCTCACCTCCACCCAGCACTGCTCCGCACACGCACTCTCTCAAACACGTGCTGTGGTTCTGCTTCAGTGAACTGAGGCCTCTCGGCTTCACTCCCCTCCTCTGCCTCCCGCGTTCCCCGCGCCATGTCCGCGCTTCACGCTCCCCTCCTCGGGGCGCCTGCGATGGCGGTTCCCTTGGCGTCGCCCGTCGGGTGCGGGCGGCGATCGCTCGTCGCGTCGTCGCGCGGCGCTCGCTTCCCCGCGCCAGTTCCGCTGGACGGAGAAAGCGAGCGGGTGAGTGCGGGAAAGGGGAGAAGAAAAGTGTAGGAAGGGATGTGGAAGAAGTCTGGAAGCAATGCGAAGGAGATATTGGAAGCGATGTGGGGAAGTAACAGCATTTGTCGGATTCGAAGGTATTCCAGCGTTTCCAGATAGATTCACAACCAGCATTCATCGCGATGCTAGCGTTGATCTGTCGCAAGCAGCAGCGACGTGGCCGCCGCCGCCGCCGCCGCCGCCGCCGCCGCCGCCGCCGCCGCCGCCGCCGCCGCCGGAGGCGGCGGTGGTCAGACGCGATGGTCCGATGAATGAGGCGCTGCTGGCGTCACTTTGCCGCTGCGTGCTCTCGCTTCTCCCTCCGTCGCTTCGAGAAGCAATGCGTGGGGTCGCGGCGTGGCTCGCGTCGGTAGATCGCGGCGATTTATGTGTGTGTGCGCGCGCGCGCAAAGCTGCATTACGGAAATGTAGGGTGGCGTGGGGAGATGCGGACGTTTGCTGCACTAGTTGCAGTAATTAGGGATGTGGTTGGGGCTATGATTGTGGCTGTGTTTCGTTGCTTTATCACCTCACCCATCCCCCCTACTCCCCTTCCTCTCACTCCACCCCACATACCCTCACTCCTACCCGCTGTCAGCAGTAACCGCCGCCGCATCCTCGTCCGTACCACCAGCGCAGCAGGAGCAGCGCCAGGAGGGGCAAACAGCAGCAACGGTAGCAGCACACCCCTCCCAGTCCCGCCGATCCATACTGCTAGCAGCAGCAGCAGCAACGCTCGGCGCGAGTCTAGGCGATGTCTTATCAGACACGGGGGCGAGCGGAGCGAGGGGCGCAAGCGGAGCAGCAGGGGCAGCAGCAGCAGCAGGGGAGCGGTGGCAGTGGCGGCGACGATTACGGACCGGCCAATGGAGTCGTACGACGAGCAGCGGCTGCTGGAGCAGAACCGCCGCATCCAGCGCCTCAACCAGGCTCCTGAGAACTTCCCCGGGTTCATCCGCCAAGGTGCGTCTTTTTGAGGCGCCAGCGCCATCCACCACACCACACCACACCACACCACACCACACGATGCGCCAAAAATAGCATCCAGCGCCTCAACCAGGCTCCTGAGAACTTCCCCGGGTTCATCCGCCAAGGTGCGTCTTTTTGAGGCGCCAGCGCCATCCACCACACCACACCACACCACACCACACGATGCGCCAAAAATAGCATCCAGCGCCTCAACCAGGCTCCTGAGAACTTCCCCGGGTTCATCCGCCAAGGTGCGTCTTTTTGAGGCGCCAGCGCCATCCACCACACCACACCACACCACACCACACGATGCGCCAAAAATAGCATCCAGCGCCTCAACCAGGCTCCTGGGAACTTCCCCGGGGTTCATCCGCCAAGGTGAGAGCGTACTTTTGGGAAGAGAGGGAGCGGGGATACGGGGGAGCAGGGGGACGGGGGAGCGGGGGGACAACGGGGTAGCGTGCGTATAACGGGGGAACACGGGGAATAGCGGGGAGCCAAGGTGCGTCTTTCTGGGAAGAGAGGGAGGGGGGGGGATAACAAGGGGGCGGGGGGAGCAGGGTGGAGGGCAGGGGGACAGGGGAGGGAGCAGCAAGGCGGGCAGCGAGGTGGGGACAGGGGGAGGTACCGGGATTGTAGAGGGGGAGGAGAGGGGCCACGGAGGGCTGCTAAGGGGAGAGGAAGGAGAGGAGGGGAGATGAGGACAGAGATAGCGGGGGATAGGTATTGGGTAAAGAACGGGGTCCGGGTGAAGGATGAAGGAGGAGAGAGTGAGGAGGAGATAGCGCGGCCATGGAAAACGAGGTGCTTTTGAGGCGACTCAAAAGCAAGGGGGTGCAGATCCCCGTGGAAGGAGGAGATAGCATGGCCATGGACGATACGTGAGGAAGGCACAGTGTGTCTAAGGCACAGTGTGTGGAAGGCACAGTGTGTGGAAGGCATTTTCTAATCTTCCCCCGCTTTCCTCTTGCTCCCTGCTTGCTTCCCCCTTCCCATTGTTCAACCTTTGTTTGTTTCTTGCTCTTTTCTTGCTCTCTCCGCTTGCTCTTTTCTTGCTCTTTCCCCTTGCTCTCCCCTTGCTCTCCCCTTGCTCTCCCCTTGCTCTCCCCTTGCTCTCCCCTTGCTCTCCCCTTGCTCTCCCCTTGCTCTCCCCTTGCTCTCCCCTTGCTCTCCCCTTGCTCTCCCCTTGCTCTCCCCTTGCTCTCCCCTTGCTCTCCCCTTGCTCTCCCCTTGCTCTCCCCTTGCGCTCCCCTTGCTCTTCCCTTGCTCTCCCTTTGCTCCGCCCCTTGCTCCCCGTTCTTTCCCTTGATCCAACTCTTTTTCTCAAAGGACCTCTTGTTCCCCAAGTGCCGAGCTCTTTGAAACCTCTACTTTACTACATCCTTTCCCCTTTTCGCTGTAAAAGCTTTCTTGTATGAACCTCTCACATCAGCCTCCTCACTTTCCCCTTCCTATGCTCTCCCTCCTCCTCTCTCCCTTCTCTCCCCTCTCTCTTGTCTATCCCCCCTCTCCCCTCTCGGCCTTGTACTCCCTCTCGCCCCTCTTCCCACTCGCCCGTCTTCCGCTCCTCCCCCCTCTCCCCGCTCGGCCCTATAGGCTTCGAGGTGAAGGTGGTGACAGGGCCCGAGTACCAGGTGTCGCCCACAGGTGCGTGCCGCCTCCCACGCATGCTGTTGCTGCTGCTGCTGCTGCTGCTGCTGCTGCTGCTGCTGCTGCTGCTGCTGCTGCTGCTGCTGCTGCTGCTGCTGCTGCTGCTGCTGCTGCTGCTTCTGCTGCTGCTGCTGCTGCTGCTGCTGCTGCTGCTGCTGCTGCTGCTGCTGTTGCTGCTGCTGCTGCTGCTGCTGCTGCTGCTGCTGCTGCTGCTGCTGCTGTTGCTGCTGTTGCTGCTGTTGCTGCTGTTGCTGCTGTTGTTGCTGTTGCTGCTGTTGCTGCTGTTGTTGCTGTTGTTGCTGTTGCTGCTGTTGCTGCTGTTGCTGCTGTTGCTGCTGTTGCTGCTGCTGCTGCTGTTGCTGCTGTTGCTGCTGTTGTTGCTGCTGTTGCTGCTGTTGCTGCTGTTGCTGCTGTTGCTGCTGCTGTTGCTGCTGTTGCTGCTGTTGCTGCTGTTGTTGCTGTTGCTGCTGTTGCTGCTGTTGTTGCTGCTGTTGCTGCTGTTGCTGCTGTTGCTGCTGTTGTTGCTGTTGCTGCTGTTGCTGCTGTTGCTGCTGTTGTTGCTGTTGCTGCTGTTGTTGCTGTTGTTGCTGTTGTTGCTGTTGTTACTACAGCACCATTCTCGCTCCTTCTTCTCCTGCTTCTCCCAGCACCCGATTTCACTCCTGCTTCTACCATTTCTTTGCACTTCCGTGCGTGTTTCATGTGTGCGCGTGTGACTGTCACTGTGCGCATGACTGCATGCCTGCATACGTGCATGACACATGCATGCTGTGCGTGATGTGTGCATGAATTCAATGCCGTGCACCCCTGCACACGTACATGACATGCATATGTGCATCACTTGCATGATGTGCATGTGTGCGTGCATGTGTGCAATCGTGCAGGGCTGATCTACTGGGACATAGTGGAAGGCCAGGGCGAGCCCCCATCGCCAGGACAGGAGGTGAGTCCGCCTTCCTTCACCTCAATCAACCTCTCGTTTCTCCATACTCTCCCTGCCCTTCTCTCCATACCCTCCCTGCCCCTCTCTCCATACCCTCCCTGCCCCTCTCTCCATACCCTCCCTTGCCCGTCTCTCCATGCCCTCCCCACAAGCTCCACATTCGTCATCACTTGCTGCTCCACCTTCCCCCCCCGCCGCATTCTGTGTTTTTTTAACGGACTAAAGCCACCATTTATGAGGTCGTGGCTAATCCTAATCAGCCCTTGTCGTAGCTTATATTCCGCATGCCCCATACCTTCGGCCCCATACCCCTTTCCCCATATCACCTGCCCCATATCCCCTGGCCCATGGCTCACGTCAGCTAGAGTGCAGCCACAGAGGTTTCAGTGAGTTAGGCTTGCGTGTGGACACCACTCACTTCTGTGCCTCCTCCTCCTCCTCCTCCTCCTCCTCCTCCTCCTCCTCCTCCTCCTCCTCCTCCTCCTCCTCCTCCTCCTCCTCCTCCTCCTCCTCCTCCTCTCCCTCCTCCTCCTCCTCCTCCTCCTCCTCCTCCTCTCCCTCCTCCTCCTCCTCCTCCTCCTCCTCCTCCTCCTCCTACACCCTCCTGCCACCACATCCCCATTCCTTCTCCTCTCCTTCCCCTCTCTTCCTCCCGCAACAGGTGGAGTTCAACTACATAGGCTTTAACGAGTCAGGCAGGCGTGTGGACAGCACGTACCTGCAGGGCCGCCCCGCCAAGACCAGAGTTGGCATCAACGGCATGATTCCAGGTCTCTTGACTTGCCGTATCATGCCGTGCCATGCCGTGCCATGCCGTATCATGCCATACCACGCTCATATTGAGTCCTCAAATCTCATCTCTCCTCGCCAAGACCAGAGTTGACATCAACGGCATGATCCCAGGTCTCTTCACTTGCCATGCCATGCCATGCCATGCCATGCCACGCCACGCCACGCCACGCCACGCAAACCGTGTCTTTGCTTCTCTCCCAGCACCTCCTCTCCTTCAAACCATGCCTCATTTCATTCCAAAATCCAATCGTCTAACGGGGCCCAATTCGTCCAAGGCCCGACCACAAACGCCATCCCCAAGGCTCCCCGATGCCCCGCGCCCCTTATCATCCTTCCCTCGTGCCGCTCTCGCCTTTCCACGCTCCTCACAACCTTTTTCCCTGTGTGCGCCTCTGCCCTGTGTGCGCCTCTGCCCTGTGCGCGCCTCTGCCCTGTGCGCGCCTCTGCCCTGTGCGCGCCTCTGCCCTGTGCGCGCCTCTGCCTGCCGTGCGCCTCTGCCCTGTGCGCCTCTGCCTGCCGTGCGTGCAGGGTTTGAGGAGGGCATTAGCGGCATGAAGGCAGGGGGTCGCAGGCGAATCATCATCCCTCCTGAGCTCGGACCCCCGGTAAGGATTCTTCCATCGCGCTTGCCCCTCTCTTGAGGTGCCTCAAAAGTCGAATCGTCATCCCTCCTGAGCTCTGACTCCCCGAAAGGGTTCTTTCATCAATAAGCAAAGACACGGTTTGCACTTGCCCCTCTCCTATTGACGGATTCTTGCTCCCTCCCTCTCCCTTCGCCCTTTCCTGCTATTCTTGCTCCCCACCTGTCGCTCTCCTGCCACACTGCCTCCTCACCACCTTCACCCCCTGCTGGCCACTCCCTTTCCCATTCTTTCCCTCCTGTTCCATCCCATTCTCTCCCTTTTTCGTCCCTTTTCCTCTCTCCTCTTCTTCCTCTCCCAACGCCCTCCTCACCCTGAACTTTCCCATGCATCTCTTAACACCACAGATGGGTCCCTCCACCTTCTTCAGCGCCAAGCAGTACGAGGTGTTTGACACCAAGCTGCTTGCTCTTTGCCTTCCCCTTTCTCCTCACCGCCTTCGCTCCCTTCCTGTCCCTCCCGCAAACCACAGACGGGCCCCTCCACCTTCTTCAGTGCCATGGAGCTGCTCGCCATCCTCCATGCCCCAATCTCCTTACCACCTTCCACCCATTGCTTGTCCCCTCCTTAACAGGCAGGCCCCTCCACCTTCTTCAGCGCTACGAGGCGTCTTTTGAGTCGACTCAAAAGTCACCAGGTGTTTGACACCAAGCTGCTCGCCATCCGTTGCTGCCAGTCTCCTTACCGCCTTCAACGCCCCTTCTGTCTTTCCCCTGTCCTACTCTCCCACGCATCTCCCACCAGACGGGCCCCTCCACCTTCTTCAGCGCCAAGCAGTACGAGGTGTTTGACATTGAGCTGCTCGCCCCTTGCCACACACAACAGACCTGCTTGCCCAATCCTCCTCACTGCCTGCACTCTCTGCTTGTCTCCCCCTCCCACTCACACCAGACCGGCCCCTCCACCTTCTTCAGCGCCAAGCAGTACGAGGTGTTTGACATTGAGCTGCTCGCCCCTTGCCACACACAACAGACCTGCTTGCCCAATCCTCCTCACTGCCTGCACTCTCTGCTTGTCTCCCCCTCCCACTCACACCAGACCGGCCCCTCCACCTTCTTCAGTGCCAAGCAGTACGAGGTGTTTGACATTGAGCTGCTTGCCATCCGCACCTGCGAGCGCCGCCAGATCGTCTTCTACTCCGACGTGGTCTGCCAGTGATTGCTGCTGCGCATGCCGAACATAAGCAGATGTGCAGTGCTGTGCAGTGCTGTGCGGTGCAGTGTGGTGCGGTGTGGTGCGGTGCGGTGCGGTGCAGTGTGCTGCAGTGTATGATCCTAGGGTGCTCCACGTGGGCTGCACGTCTGTCTCAGCCTGCCTTGTTTTCGTAGCACGAAACTGTTAGGCCTGGTAGGGTTTTGACAGATTGTCCAACTCTCTGACGTGGAATGATCCCCCAAGTCTCTGGTGCTTTATTCCAAAATTGTTCAGGTCAAGGGATTTTCCATGTAATAAATGATCATGGTAGTGTATTTGCGTAGCTAAGTTCAGCCGAACAGCAAGAAATAGACACTCCAAAGGCCATACAGTACGGTACCACAGTTCCGAATCGACCCTCCAAACCAGTCCCCAACCCCCTGCTGATGTTGGCTTCGCTTCCTCCCTCCCTCCCTCCCTCGGTCTGTTACCCTCTCCCCCTCTCCCCTAGCCCCATCCCACGCCATCACAGCTCATCATACCCAGCAGCCTCAGGCTCATCCCAAGGCACCTTCTTCCCGGTCATCTTCTCAACAAACTTCACAATCTCCTCCCTGCCTCCTCGCTCCCCCAGTTCTCCTCCCTGCTCTTCCCCCGCCCCCATTCCTCTCCCCCACCCCCCCTCCCCCCCCCCCCCCCCCCCTATCACAGCTCATCATACCCAGCGCTCTCAGGTTCCTTATCCTCCACCTTCTTCCCGGTCATCTTCTCAACAAACTTCACAATCTCCTCCCTGCCCCCCTTCGCAGCCTCCTCGGCCTGTGCATACACCTCTCCCATCACCTCCTCCTTGCTCTTGCTCTTGCTGCTGCTGCTGCTGCTGCTGCTGCCCTTCTTGCTCTTCTTCTTCTTCTTGCCTGCAGCTGCTGCCTTCGCCTCCTCCGCGGCTTGCTTCTCCTGCTGGCGTTTAAAGACCTGTTGAGTTTATCAATTGATGGGCGTAGGGCGTGGAGGGTAACTCAGGAATAAACTAATCCGCTATGAAGTACTGGGTAGTGAGAGTGCAAATTATCTCGTTAAGGTGAGGTGATAGGTGTGTAAAAATGCGAAGGAAGAGGAAGATGGGAAGAGGGTGTGGGCTGACGATAGATGGAGTGGGTGCATGGGTGCATGGGTGCATGGGTGCATGGGTGCATGGGTGCATGGGTGCATGGGTGCATGGGTGCATGGGTGCATGGGTGCATGGGTGCATGGGTGCATGGGTGCATGGGAGCAGGGAGAGCAGGGAGCAGGGAGCATAGGTCATATAGCAGGGCGCACGTACCTCTTCAGGCATGCCCATGCCCTTGGGCATCTTGATGTTCTTGATGGCCTCCTGGTGGTGCAGCACAGAGACACGCAAACCGAGGCACATGGGGAATCACGCAAAGGAGATTTAGAAACAGCCCCTTGAGGCATGCCCATGCACATGCCCATGCCCATGCCCTTGCCATTGCCCATGCCCATGCCCTTGCGATTGCCCATGCATGTGTGTGGGCATGTGTGTGTGCCTGCAACCGTGCATGCATGCATGCATGTGTGCAGTGCAGCACGGCGCACCTCATCATGCATGACGCTGGTGGGGATGTTCATCTCTTTAGCCATCTTGCTCTAGTCCATGCGGGTGCGTGCATGCGAGCAGGCGTGCAAGGGTGCTGTGATGAGCTATGCCAAGCAGTGCTGTCGTGGTGCAGTGCAGTGCTGTGGAGTGCAGTGCAGTGCAGTGCGGCACGGCGCACCTCATCATGCATGACACTGGTGGGGATGTTCATCTCCTTGGCCATCTTGCTCTAGTCCGGGGGGGATGCGTGCATTCCTTCCTTCCTATGTGCATGCACGCGTGCAGTGCTGCGCGGTGCTGTGCGGTGCTGTGTGGTGCTGTGTTGTGCAGTGCAGCACGGCGCACCTCATCATGCATGACGCTGGTGGGGATGTTCATCTCTTTAGCCATCTTGCTGTAGTCCGGGGGGCTGTTGTCCTTCTTCTGCCAGTTCTCCCCTGGCTCACGGTCCTGCTCACCCGCAACGCACCACACAATACCACACCACACGACACCACACCACAGCACAGCACAACGGAGCAGAGCAAAATGGAGCGGAGCGGAGCAAACTCAAAACCTCCAGACCGCACAGTCCCCTTTCGAGAGCTGTCAAGAGTGATGAGGGCTGAGAGGGCGGCTGCTTGCTTTTTGAGGCGCCTTAAAAATCGTCTCCATTCACGCGGATTTTATATGGGGAATGTTTAGCTGTCAAGAGTGATGAGAGCTGAGAGGGCAGCTGCTCGCTCCAAGGTGGGCTGTTTCAGAATTCGCTTCTGGAGGCGCCCAAAGGTGGGCTCTCATCTCACCTCTGGCACGGGCGGCGGCTTGGTGGAGCAAGCCTTGCTGAGGTCGTGGCAGAGGTAGCGCTGCAGGGAGGACTGTGAGGGCTCGTCGTTGAATATCCTCTCTGCTATGTCCGTGTCATGCTCCCCCATGATCTGCTCGTGGGGGGAGGGCGGGGGAGAGAAGGAAGCAGTGCGGTGACGAGATGGGGGGGGGGGGGTGTAGATCAGGGAGGACTGTAAGGGCTCGTCATTGAATATTTTTTGTCCGCTATCTCCGTGTCATGCTCCCCCATGATCTGCTCGTGGGGGGTGGAGGAGGGTGTCAGAATGAGGGAAGACTGGATTGGATTGAATAGAGAGTAAGGTACATGGCCTTAAGTAGCACAAATTAGGAGGGGTTGGGTGGGTAAGATGCAATGGGAAGGGGATCCTGGAAGAATCCATCCAAATCAAGGAGATTTTGGATGGATAGGTTTGGGTAGGCTTGGATAGGTTGGGAAAATCTACACCCAACCCAACCTGTTACTTAACTTACTAGAAATTGTAAACCCTAAAACTTTCAAGGCTAACACACTAAGTGCAGTCTATCTCCAGCAGAGGGGTGTTGGGGGGAGGGATGTGGCAGAGGGAAGAAGAGGGTGAAGGAGGGGGGCGAGGAAGGGAGAGGGTACGCAAAGATGGCTCACGCCAAAGAATTGAGAAGCTTCGTGAAGCAACGTCGCAGGCAAACAATTCTTTTTCACAATTGATCAAAGAAAGGGAAGGGAAAGGGACGGCACGGAAACGCAAGGCTAGGCGAGTCAGGGCGAGGAAAGGAAAGGCAGGGCAGGGCAGGGCAGGGCAGGGCAGGGCAGGGGCGAGGGAGGGAAAGGCAAGGCAGGGCGGCTCACGTCCTGGCAGGCGCGTTGAATGGTCTTGCACTCCGACAGACACTCGCCGTCCTCCTCGTGCTCTATTAGCTGCATGCGGGAGGGGTGGGGAGAAAGGAAAAGGACAGTGGCCGACGTTTGAGGCACACCTGAAAAGCTCTTGCACTCCGACAGACACTCGCCGTCCTCCTCGTGCTCTATCAGCTGCGCTCACATGCCGTTGAGGGCACGGAAACGGGGAGGTTGGGCGGACAGGGGGAGATGGGCAGGGACAGGGGAGGACAGGCGGGGGAAATGGAGCGGGGACGGAGTGTGGGGATGTGGGGGTAAACAGGGAGGGAACAGAGGGTTGGGGGAGGGGGTAAACGGAACCGGAATGAGTTTTAGAGAGGGAACGGAGAGGCTGGAAGGGGATATGTGAGTATAGAATATACTACACGCACATACCGACAGACATTCACCCATCCACCCACACACGATTGCGAGTGCACAGTGCGGCACACCTTGAGCACTCATTGCCACACAGTGCGGCACACCTCCACGCACCTGGAGACGGTCGCCGCTCTCACATACCCGTGCACACCCACCCGCACATGATCAAGCACGCGCACACATATACGCACGCACGCACGCACATATACGCACGCACGCACATATACGCACGCGCACACATATACGCACGCACGCACATATACGCACGCACGCACATATACGCACGCACGCACATATACGCACGCACGCACATATACGCACGCACGCACATATACGCACGCACGGGCAGCGCGCACCTTGAGCAGGTCGCCGCTCTCCACGATGTCGAGGCGCGTGATCCACCCGCCATTGGCGCTCTTCACGTCGCACAGCTTCTCCGCCACCTCTATCACCTTCAGCTCACTCACCTGCGCGCGCGGGGGGGGGAGGGGGGGTTGGGTTTGGGGAGAAGGGCGGGGAAAGGGGGGAGGGAAGGCAGGCAGAGGCGAGGGCGAGGGGGGAGAGAGAGGGATAGGGATGCGGTGGCTTTTGACGTCGCACATCTTCTCCGCCACCTCTATCACCTTCAACTCGCTCACCTGCGCGCGCGGGGTGAGGGGGGGCCGGGGGAAGGGAGTGGAGGCAGAGAAAGAAGGAAAGGGAGAGGGGGGGGGGGAGGAGGAAGGGAAGGGGGAGGGGGAGGGGGATGACTGGATGCGGCAGACAGAGAGAAACAAATATGGGGTGGGGTACAGATGAGATGAGCCTGTTGGTTGCCTCTTCATTGCTATAGCCCTCGTGCATGCCCTCGCGCACCGTCCAGGCCTAATTCGTAACTGCGTGCCCGCGCATGTTGTCAATAGCACCAGCGCCTCTTTCCTCCCTCGTATACCCCCCTCCCCCCCCCTCCCCCCCCCCCCCCCCCCCCCCCCCCCCCCCCCCCCCCCCCCCCCCCCCCCCTCCCTCCTCACCCCGCCTCCACCCTTCCGCCCCTATCCTTCCTCCTCCCCGCCGCTTCCCTCTCCACGCTGGGCGTCAACACCCCGTTTCCCCCTCCTACCCCCTCATGCACCTGCGCTTTCGACTCACCCTTTCCCTCCCGCGCTCCTTCTGCGCACCGCACCTTCTGCGGCAGGAAAGGTTGCGACTTTAGAGACGTCCCAACCATCGCGCGCAACTGCGGCGCGGGCTACGATTGCGTTACGGCTTGGCGCCTTTCTACGTTTCGCCTCGGCCCGTGCCTCCTCACTCTACTCGTCCTCGCGTGCCCTACCTACCGCCCGTCACACGCACCTTATCGAGTTTTGAGACGTCTCAAAACTCGTCTTCGCGTGCACGCACCTTATCGGCTCCGCCTCCTCCCCCTCTTGCCTTTTAAAGCGCCTGAAGAATTAAATTCCCCCCCGAGCATGCACCTTCTTGGGCTCCGCCTTCTCTCACTCGCGCTCCACCTGCTGGTCCAGCTGCTCCGCCCGTCACGCCACCCCCTCCCCCCACCCCCCTTTCCTCTCTCCCCCCTTTCCCCGCGCACCTTCTTGGGCTCCGCCTTTTCCCGCTCGCGCTCCACCTGCTGGTCCAGCTGCTCCGCCATCTTGCGGCACACGTCGCACTTGATGAACGGGATGTACGCCTTGCGCACCGCGATGTTGAACTCCGCCTCGAACCCCCCCCCACCCTCTCCCCCCCCACCCTCTCCCCTCTCTGCACCTTCCCGCATACACCCCTCCTTTCTCCCCTCTCCCTCCACGCGCTCCGCCCTCCCCGTCCACCCCCCCGTCACCCTTCCCCTCACCCTTCCTCCCCTTCCCCCCCACCCCCACACGCACCTTCTTCGGTTCCGCCTTCTCTCTCTCTCGCTCCACCTGCTGGTCCAGCTGCTCCGCCATCTTGCGGCACACGTCGCACTTGATGAACGGGATGTCCGCCTTGCGCACCGCGATGTTGAACTCCGGCGCCTCGAACTGCGCCGCCGCCACGTGCAGCGCGCACAGCACGGCGGCGACGCGCAGTATCGCGCGCCACGGACCCGCCATGGCGTTTCCGGGTTGCACGAAATGGACGGTCGGTCGGCCGCGGCGGGAGGATAAGGACGAGAAGAAACGCGGTCGGGACGATGGAAACTATATAATAGAAGCAAGCAATAAACTTGGCGGAAGGGCGACAGGAAAAACCGGAAAGGAGGCCGTAGCAGGCGGTAGTTCGGAACGGAATGGTACTGAAGGTCAACGAGTGGAGACTGAAATCTAGCGTATTTGGTGAAGATGATCGATCTAGAATGCCGAATGCGAGGGAGTCGTGCTTGGTTGGTTGGGGTGATAGCAGAGCAGAAGCATCCAGAAGTTCCCGTGCATTATACGCGACATTGATAATGTGGAGTTGCCAGCAACTGTAGTTTCTATAGCGTTTCCTTGTCTGTTTAGGTTAGATCATAAGAGTTTATCACGATAATTATATATTCCAGAATATTCCATCGTTTTACCAAGATGATAGGATCTCGCCTCAGCAGCGCCAGACGCCTTAGGCAGCGCGAAATCGCCCCTTAGCAGCGCCTCGACGCCACCAGGCAGCGCGATCTCGCCTCAGCAGCGCCAGACGCCTTAGGCAGCGCGAAATCGCCCCTTAGCAGCGCCTCGACGCCACCAGGCAGCGCGATCTCGCCTCAGCAGCGCCAGACGCCTTAGGCAGCGCGAAATCGCCCCTTAGCAGCGCCAGACGCCACCAGGCAGCGCGATCTCGCCTCAGCAGCGCCAGACGCCTTAGGCAGCGCGAAATCGCCCCTTAGCAGCGCCTCGACGCCACCAGGCAGCGCGATCTCGCCTCAGCAGCGCCAGACGCCTTAGGCAGCGCGAAATCGCCCCTTAGCAGCGCCTCGACGCCACCAGGCAGCGCGATCTCGCCTCAGCAGCGCCAGACGCCTTAGGCAGCGCGAAATCGCCCCTTAGCAGCGCCAGACGCCACCAGGCAGCGCGATCTCGCCTCAGCAGCGCCAGACGCCTTAGGCAGCGCGAAATCGCCCCTTAGCAGCGCCAGACGCCACCAGGCAGCGCGATCTCGCCTCAGCAGCGCCAGACGCCTTAGGCAGCGCGAAATCGCCCCTTAGCAGCGCCAGACGCCACCAGGCAGCGCGACCTCGCCTCAGCAGCGCCAGACGCCTTAGGCAGCGCGAAATCGCCCCTTAGCAGCGCCTCGACGCCACCAGGCAGCGCGATCTCGCCTCAGCAGGGCGGAATCGCCGCAGAAAACCACCAGGTACCACCTGAAACGCTATCATGGAAGACGACCCAGGCCCCGGGGACCCCGGGGTCTGGGCGGGAGACGGCGCAAACAACGGCACGACGGAGGCCATCGGGGGCAAAGGGGGGACAAGCACGGCGGCAGTCACGGGGTCGCTCTGCCTAGGGGCTGGCCACAAAAGACGGGGGGGGCCTGAGGGTGCGCTCCAGAGCCCACGCATCTGTCGCCTCCGCCACGAAGACATTCTGTGCCTCTTCGGCAAACCACCCAAGAGGCGGTGTTTTGAAGCGAACCGCCCGATTTCAGCAATTACAGGTGGACAATCCCCCAAGAACCCCCCCAGCAACCGGGCTGGCCAGAGCGGCGTCTCAGAGCCTTCGGCCGTCAACGAAGAGGGGGGAGAAGCAATGGGCGACAAGAGTCTGGCCGCCGATGTGGCATTGGAGGCTGCGAGGGCAGCTTGGGAAGAGCATCGGCGGCGCTTGCAACAACAGCACAACACTCGCAGGAGTGGCCTACCTGAGAGCGTAACGCGGCACAGTGCCTGCTCGACCGACGTCGACTCTCCCCTAGTCGTGCCACGTCTCGCACGGCGGCAGGAATGGCGGCGTCGGAGGGCGGCAGGAAGAGACAGGCAACGGGAGCCGCCGGTGGGGGGCCGGTGGGACCTGCAGGCGGGCGGACAGCAGGGGAGCCGGGAAAGAGGCCGACAGCCGCCGGAGGGGACGAGGCAGCAGCGGCTGCAGAGCGGAGGGCAGCATGAGCTGCAGGGCGGAGGGCAGCAGCAGCTGCAGAGCGGAGGGCAGCAGCAGCTGCAGAGTGGGGGGCAGCAGCAACTGCAGAGCGGAGGGCAGCAGCAGCTGCAGAGTGGGGGGCAGCAGCAGCTGCAGAGCGGAGGGCAGCAGCAACTGCTGCAGAGCGGAGGGCAGCATGAGCTGCAGGGCGGAGGGCAGCAGCAGCTGCAGAGCGGAGGGCAGCAGCAGCTGCAGAGCGGAGGGCAGCAGCAGCTGCAGAGCGGAGGGCAGCAGCAGCTGCAGAGCGGAGGGCAGCAGCAGCTGCAGAGTGGGGGGCAGCAGCAACTGCTGCGGAGCGGAGGGCAGCATGAGCTGCAGGGCGGAGGGCAGCAGCAGCTGCAGAGCGGAGGGCAGCAGGAGCTGCAGAGCGGAGGGCAGCGGCAGCTGCAGAGCGGAGGGCAGCAGCAACTGCTGCAGAGCGGAGGGCAGCATGAGCTGCAGGGCGGAGGGCAGCAGCAGCTGCAGTGCGGAGGGCAGCATGAGCTGCAGGGCGGAGGGCAGCAGCAGCTGCAGAGCAGAGGGCAGCAGCAGCTGCAGAGCGGAGGGCAGCAGCAGCTGCAGGGCGGAGGGCAGCAGCAGCTGCGGAGTGGAGGGCAGCGTCAGCTGCAAAGCAGAGCACAGCAGGAGCTGCAGAGGGGAGGGCAGCATGAGCTGCGGAGTGGAGAGCAGCAGGAGCTGCAGAGTGGAGAGCAGCAGGAGCTGCAGAGTGGAGAGCAGCAGGAGCTGCAGAGTGGAGGGCAGCGTCAGCTGGAAAGCAGAGCACAGCAGGAGCTGCAGAGGGGAGGGCAGCATGAGCTGCGGAGTGGAGAGCAGCAGGAGCTGCAGAGTGGAGAGCAGCAGGAGCTGCAGAGTGGAGGGCAGCAGGAGCTGCAGAGTGGAGGGCAGCAGGAGCTGCAGAGTGGAGGGCATCAGGAGGAGCAGAGTGGAGGGCATCAGGAGGAGCAGAGTGGAGGGCATCAGGAGGAGCAGAGTGGAGGGCATCAGGAGGAGCAGAGTGGAGGGCAGCAAGAGACATTGTGGGTGAGCGATGTGGAGATGGTGGACGAGGCAGGCACCGACGAGCTGGAATCAAGCCCCATGGAGGGGGAGAATGCCAACCCCGACTCCTCGGACCAAGCGGAAAGGCCCCGAGTGCGGGGGCGGGGCCGGAGGCGACGGGCAACCAAACTGCTACAGCTGCAGAGGGGAGGGCAGCAGCAGCTGCAGAGCGGAGGGCAGCAGCAACTGCTGCAGAGGGGAGGGCAGCAGCAGCTGCAGAGCGGAAGGCAGCAGGAGCTGCAGAGCGGAGGGCAGCAGGAGCTGCAGGGCGGAGGGCAGCAGCCCAATCAGAGCGGAGGGCAGCAGCAACTGCAGAGCGGAGGGCAGCAGCAACTGCAGAGCGGAGGGCAGCAGCAGCTGCAGAGCGGATGGCAGCAGCAGCTGCAGAGCGGATGGCAGCAGCAGCTGCAGAGCGGAGGGCAGCAGCCCAATCAGAGCGGAGGGCAGCAGGAGCTGCAGAGCCGAGAGCAGCAAGAGCTGCGGAGTGGAGAGCAGCAGCAGCTGCAGAGTGGAGGGCAGCAGGAGCTGCAGAGTGGAGGGCAGGAGGAGCTGCAGAGCGGAGGGCAGCAAGACCCACTGGGGGAGTTGGATGTGGAGATAGAGGCCGAGGCATACACCGACGAGCTGGAATCAAGCCCCATGGAGGGTGAGAATGCCAACCCCGACTCCTCGGACCAAGCGGAAAGGCCCCGAGTGCGGGGGCGGGGCCGGAGGCGACGGGCAACCAAACTACTACAGCTGCAGAGGGGAGGGCAGCAGCAGCTGCAGAGCGGAGGGCAGCAGGAGCTGCAGGGCGGAGGGCAGCAGCCCAATCAGAGCGGAGGGCAGCAGCAGCTGCAGTGCGGAGGGCAGCAGGAGCTGCAGGGCGGAGGGCAGCAGCCCAATCAGAGCGGAGGGCAGCAGCAACTGCAGAGCGGAGGGCAGCAGCAACTGCAGAGCGGAGGGCAGCAGCAGCTGCAGAGCGGATGGCAGCAGCAGCTGCAGAGCGGATGGCAGCAGCAGCTGCAGAGCGGAGGGCAGCAGCCCAATCAGAGCGGAGGGCAGCAGCAACTGCAGAGCGGAGGGCAGCAGCAGCTGCAGAGCGGAGGGCAGCATGAGCTGCAGGGCGGAGGGCAGCAGCCCAATCAGAGCGGAGGGCAGCAGCAGCTGCAGAGCGGAGGGCAGCAGCAGCTGCAGAGCGGAGGGCAGCAGCAGCTGCAGAGTGGAGGGCAGCAGCCCAATCAGAGTGGTGGGCAGCAGCAGCTGCAGAGCGGAGGGCAGCAGCCCAATCAGAGCGGAGGGCAGCAGCAACTGCAGAGCGGAGGGCAGCAGCAGCTGCAGAGCGGAGGGCAGCATGAGCTGCAGGGCGGAGGGCAGCAGCCCAATCAGAGCGGAGGGCAGCAGCAGCTGCAGAGCGGAGGGCAGCAGCAGCTGCAGAGTGGAGGGCAGCAGCCCAATCAGAGCGGAGGGCAGCAGCAGCTGCAGAGCGGAGGGCAGCAGCAGCTGCAGAGCGGAGGGCAGCAGCAGCTGCAGAGTGGAGGGCAGCAGCCCAATCAGAGCGGAGGGCAGCAGCAGCTGCAGAGCGGAGGGCAGCAGCGGCTGCAGAGTGGGGGGCAGCTGCAGCTGCAGTGCGGAGGGCAGCAGCAGCTGCAGAGCGGAGGGCAGCAGGAGCTGCCCGATGGGGTGCAGCTTGCGAGGCTGCCAGAGGGGGAGATGGAGATGGAGTCGAGCAGACAGGTCTTGCCGGCGTGTTCGAGTGGAGAGGAGCACCCAGACCCTATGCTGACACCCCCGCCCCGCATCCCGTGCGAAACCTGTTATCGCACTTTCACGGAGAGAGGAAAGGCCACGCGTCATATGTCGGCCTGCAGGGCAGCGGACGCCAAGCGCCGTGCACAGGCGCTTGGGTTGACCCGCGACGTCACAGACGACTCGGACAGCGAACCTCCGCCACCACGGGATATCAGTGAAGAGGTGTGGGCCGCAGT